AAATCCGATGCTCCAGTCTTGAGGGTAGCGCAAGTTGAAGAGATGTCGCGCCCACTGCCGCGCGCGGCGAAGCGGCAACTCACGTTTCTCTTGCCCGTCTCTCCTTTTCTCAAACTACCGGAAGATATGAGGCGCGTTCTCACACCCTCACGGAAAAAGGGGGAGAGTATCCCGAACAACATCCGCAAGATCAATCCTGATAAAGTTAGATGAGCCTGCCACTCATCCGCTTTGGGAAACTGGAAGGTTATGAATGCTGGTCGTACAAAGACCTCTTTGAAATGCTGTACTGACACCGGGATTTCACAGATTGTGGTGATTTAGCGTGGGCAACAACGATGGTAACGCTGAGTGTTTACTTTTCAGAGTTTAGGCTGCTTCATACTGCGCGGTAGCATCCATCAGCTGCCAGCAGCGTCCATCAGCGACCACTAGCGTTCCGAGCGTCCGGCAGCGTCAGCGACTAGGAAAGTATAGATATCGATCTAGCGTCCACCAGTGACCATTAGCGTTCACTAGCGACCAGCAGCGTCTCGAGGACTAGGGGAATATTATTTAGGTTGTCCGGAAAGGAATGCGCGTTCGAGCTTAAAAATTTTTTATTATAAAAACGAAATTAAACAAGATAAATTCAAAAGACAATCTCCATTAGTATCAATGACTTGTTGTCAACATTTATGCAAAAAATGGATTCCTCTTCTGAAGAACTCGACCGGCTGCGACTCAAAGAAGTTGGACACCCAGAGTTGGACCTTTTTCGCGGTTTGTGAATTTTCTCTCGGCCAGGGAGTTCTCTGACCGAACAGGATGGTAATGCGATTGGTGCCGAGGTCTTGATCTGTGTGGCGGATGAGGCAGGACTTTCCAGCCCAATTCCTCAATTTTTTTTTCTAGAGTGATTTTCGCCACATGTGGATGAGCGTTGTCGTGGATAAATTTTGTCGACGTCGTTTCGGACACTGTTGCAAGACGGCATGTGGCTGGATCCATGCGGTTCAATGGTGTTTGCAGATGTCCGCCGTAACCGTCTGACCCGATTCCGGAACTTCAAAGTACATCAAACCTTTGCTATTCCACCAAACACGGAGCATCACCTTTTTGGGCCCGCAGTATATGCAGACGTTGGAGTCCGTTTGGAGGGTCACTTGGAGTTCCTCACTCACTGTCCTTGTCTCGGTTGGCGTTATCGAAGCAGACCCCTTTTCTCATTTGATGTAATAATAGAGTCGAAAAAACCGCTGTTCTTGGAGCGACGAAGAAGAATTCCGGCCATTGCACTCGGGTTGCCCTGTTTGCCGCTCGCTCAGTCTGGTGTTTTTATTGTTCCCCAAAAAAAGCAAAGTAGACATGGACAAAAATATATCAAAAGAAGCACAATAAAAATCTCTTTCTAATAGACAAAACTGTCTCCAAAAATCTTCTATAGTAGGAGAGAAAAAAAATGGACAAGTTTTAAATCAATCGCGCATTCCTTTCGCGGACAACCTAATGGTACCGATATAGCGTCCACTAGCGACCAGCAGCGTCTAGGAGGTGGAGAGTATGCGGCGATAGGAGGGTGGCAGACAGTTGGTACTCTCCTACTGCCCATAATCTTTACCCAGCAGTTGCTACAATCCTATTCCCGCCTCTCCATATTCTCTTGCCCACAGTCTCAGCCATCTAACATCCCTGTACCCTAACAGCCTTCTCAGCTAGCCCTCTACTAGCGTCCCATGCTCTGCCCACTTCTCGGAACGCTGCTCTTCGCTAGTGACACTGCCGGCGAAGTATTAACGCACTGCCTTATGTTTCACGCGGAGGTAATTCTAGGGCTTCAAGAAGGCCATCCAGCTCCTTTATGGGAACCGCTGGTTGGCTGATTTTCCCGGAATAATGCTTGCCATCGCAGCCACATAATACGATTTCGCGGCGATTTTTCATCCTGACATCATGAAGAAATCCGCTCACCCACCTGGCCGAAGGCACGAAGGCTGAGAGGAATTCGCAACCATTTTCATCTTCGCCTCCCGGACAGTCTACTTCACCATCGCATTTGAAATGACTGGAAACGCAGTCACCAGAACGACAGATGAAATCGCCCTCAGGACAAGTGTGCAGGTAAGAGCAGTGCGATTCGTCCTGAAAAAAACACTACTCGGCTATGGCTTAGATGAAAAGACTACGCGAATTAGCGTGCGGTTCTCACCAGGCCGTTTGTGCAGTCCTTTAATCCATCACACAACCACTCGAGTGGAATACATCGCTGGGTATCGGAAGGCGTTTGACAGTCAAATTGCGTGGAGTTATTGCAGGTTAATGGAAATGTCTGAAGGAAAATCTTCGTTAAAGAATTGGCTGTGAACATTATTGAAGAAACATTCGAGTGTTTTGAAAGACTGAGGTGTTAAGACCTACTGGGACCTACCTATTTAAAATGGCCTGAAAATCTGACTATCTCTGGTATGCTAATCCTAGAATAACCGGTGTCAATCTTCCCATGTCACAGCTGAGGGAGTAAGAAGGGCTTTATTCTCGTGTTGCGCGCCTGACGAGGTGAATGATCGGTTTGTGACCTTCTTCGGGCCGTCCCTTCAATATTGACACTTTGGAACCTGGCGAACGAACGTGATTGAAACTTGGGGCACGCGTTCATGTTCATGAAAAATCGAATCGTGCTCTCAAAGCTGGACAGCTGGTGTCTTCTACCACCGAAGCAAGAGAAATCAAGGCCTGCACACAAGTGACTCAACCGTGAAAAATGCGCAGCTGCCCAGTCTGAGTCAGCATGAGACCTTCATGAGCTCATAGACCTACTTGGGCTTGATGGCCGTGATGGACGTTTCACCTTTTCGCGAGGTTGGTAGCAAAGTTGCAGGGGTCGCTCTTAGGCAGCGTTCAGACTTCGCGACGGCAGCGCTTCGGTCGCGCGTTCGACGCGATCGATGCGCATGCTTTCGACTGCATCGATCGCGTCGAACGCGAAGCGCTGCCGTCGCGAAGTCTGAACGCTGCCTTAGGAAGATATCACCTCAAGTGTACGCTATGGCTAAGGTAGTTTTGCCCCCCCCCCAACCCACCTTCTGATTATTATGTCTGAAGAGTATGCTGGCAATACTAATGAAGGAGTGATGAAGACTTTCATTCATTGCACGGTATTGGGATTCACCCAGTTTGTGAATGTATTCAATCTCATTGAATACCCAACTAAAGTATCAAGATCTTTCAGTGATGAGTGAACGCCATGCATGAAAGTATGTGTGACAGGTCTACGATTAGGCGGGGGG